GATATAAGGGGGTAATCTCTACTTGCATCCATAGGTGCCTCCCCAGTACATCCTACATGTATTGTAGGATGATAAAACTTTAGCTCTGCCAGGAACAATTCTAGATTACAGCATGCGGGACCTAGTCAAAGCTCCTTGTTTTGGCTTGATGTAACTATTACTTCCATTTCACTTCTCCTAAGAGATGCGTTTGCAAGGCCTAGGCTTCATTCCTTGACTCCATCCCTCATACCGCCAATTCGAAAGTCATGTAGAAGAAATATCTGTTTTTACTTGCTTATCAGTTTTACTTCTTTTATTTTCATCCACCAGTTTCTTGTTTTCTAATGATCACTTACTAATGAATTTCCCATCTGGTAGCTGTGTCTCATGCTCCTCTCTGCTGCTCTCAACAGGGCTGTAGGCCATTTTCCTGCCTGCTTCTCACTTCTGAGAAATCTGCATTCTCTCACTCCTCAAAATGATGCTGCTTTCTTCACACAGATGTTGCGAAGAGGAGAATGTTGGATGCCTCTCATTTTTTTTTTGCACTACCTCTTTAGTATCCATCACCCCATTGCTCAAATCTATCTGGACATAGCAATATCTACCAATGCCTTGAAGTAGGTTGCAGGTTGATTTCCCGAAGAGCAGACGGTGGAACAGTGTGGAGGGCAAGATGTTTATTAGGGATCAATACCTGTGAAGAAAAGGGGCAAAAGTAGGATTTGGCAGAGAAAGAAATTGAGCCGTGACGCAGGCTTTACGAACCTTCCCTGAACTTGGTGGAGAGCTCTGTAGAGTGACGACCAACAAAAGCATCCTGTGTCAGGCTATAATGGCTGGGTCTTTCTTACTTTTCTGTCTCAGCCTCTGGATACAGGCTATCCCAGGAAGGGCATGACCTCAGGTGAAGGGCCTCTCTGCAATTGAGGCAGATTGGGAAGATCTGACAGCTGAAGCCTGGCTGCTTACTTCATTCCCCTCAGTTGGGCAGCAAGTCTTCTCTTGCAGGAGGTTCTGGGTGGCACAGTTCCATGTCTTCACAGAGGAGTGGATGAGAATTACAATGTAAACTACAAGATAAACATGATTGTTCCCATGTTTCAAAGGAAAATCGCCAAAGATACATAAACTATCAGGCAGGTTGTTCCTGGTTCACATCTTTTCCAATTTGGAATAAATGCAAATTCCTTGAATTTCATTAAAAATAACAATAACATTGGATAACTGTTGCCTCAGGAACCCACAACGATGCTCTCATTCTGTCCTGGCCTACTCACATATCTTCCCTCCATTCCTCACCCCTTTTCTAAGGTTTACATTTTAATTCTATTTTATTTTTAAAATGCTATTCAGAGAAAATAAAATATAGATACAGGAAACAATAAGGAAAGCACATTTATAAACACTGTTTCAGTCAAAATAAAGAACTTGGACTGGCCCAGCGTGGTGGGCCAGCATGTAATCCCAGCACTTTGGGAGGCTGAGGCAGGCAGATCGCCTGAGGTCAGGAGTTTGAGACCAGCCTGGCCAACATGGCAAAATGCTCTTTGTACTAAAAATATAAAAATTAGCTGGGAGTGGTGGCAGGTGCCTGAAATCCCAGCTACTTGGGAGGCTGAGGCAGGAGAATCACTTGAGCCTGAGGTTGCAGTGAGCTGAGATTGCGCCACCGCACTGTAGCCTGGGCGACAGAGCAAGACTGTATCTCAAAAAATAAAAATAAAAAAAAAAAGAACTTAGATTCTCTTCTTCAGGACCTTACAATGAAGATGGAGTGTAGCAATAGCTACATTTCAGTATAATAGCAATAATATTATTAATAAGTGCCATAATTACTTCTATTAACACGACTTTTGCTGCGGTTATTGCTGCTTCTGCTGTTGTTGGCAATGCTACTACCTAATATTTTTGGCACGTGTACCATGTTTCAGGTATATATATATATATAATTTAAAGTTATTCTTAACACTTCACTGAGGTTGCACCATTTTATGTATGAAGGAAATGAAGCAGAGACAGGTTAACTAACTCATCCAAGGTCACACATGTAGTAAATAGTGGAGGCCCTTTGCACAGCTAATAGCCTAGCTTTTGCAGGCTGGCATTTTCTAACTCTAAACACTTGGCTTATACCTTCTTTTTCATCTTGAATTACCTTCTCCTTCTTGCTTCCTCTCTCTCTTTGTACCCTTTGACCTACACTTCTGCTTTCCTCCACCCACCATCCCAGCTTCTGGTAACAAACATTCTATTTTCTTTCTTTTTCTTTTTCTTTTTTTTTTTTTTTATGTTTTTGAGACAGTCTCCATGTGCCGCCCAGGCTGGAGTTCAGTGGTGCTATCTCCACTCACTGCAATCTCTGCCTCCCAGGTTCAAGTGATTCTCCTGTCTCTGCCTCCAAAGTAGCTGGGATTACAGGCACCCGCCACAACACCCCGCTAATTTTTGTATTTTCAGTAGAGATGGGGTTTCACTATGGTGCCCAGGCTGGTCTGCAACTCCTGACATCATGTGATCCGCCTGCCTCAGCCTCTCAAAGTTCTGGGATTACAGGCGTGAGCCACTGCACCTGACAACAAACGTTCTACTTTCTACTTCTATGATTTCAAATTTAGATTACACATTTAAGTAACTCACAACTTACTCATGTGATTTGATGTTGTTCTAGAATCCATCACCCTGCTTCCCTTTTCTACAGGCCTTGTAACTCATTCTTTCCCACTGTACTTCGTTCTCTGCCTTAACTGACTGGAATATCCCTAAATCTACTGAAGTGATCCCCAATTCCCATGTCTCTGTGTTTCCCACTTGCAATAACTCTGACCCATTCCACTGACCATGGGAGCCCTGTTCCTGCCAACCTTATAACTCTGGCTACCTCTAATCCTGTGAGCTGCACCTGGACCCTTTTTTTTTTTTTTTTTTTCTGGTTTCACAAAACAATATGTTAATAGATAATATTTTCATTTTGAATTACTTGTACCGTGATGATTAGTAGATCAGTAAATAAATTTGATAATTGGCCAGGTGCGGTGGCTCATGCCTGTAATCTCGGCATTTTGAGAGGCTGAGGCTGGAGGATCACGAGGTCAGGGGTTTGAGACCAGTCTGACCAACATGGTGAAACCCCATCTCTACTGAAAATACAAAAATTAGCCAGGCGTGATGGCGTGTGCCTGTAATCCCTGCTACTCAGGAGGCTGAGGCAGGAAAATCACTTGAACCTGGGAGGCAGAGGTTGCAGTGAGCTGAGATCGCACCACCACTGCATTCCAGCCTGGGCAACACAGTGAGATTCTGTCTCAAAATAAATAAATTTGATAATCATACAAACTTAGAACTAGAAAGACTGGTCTAATTTTTTTACAGAGTAAGGATTTTGAACACAGGTGTCTCCCCTTCTTGATGATCTCATCCCTCCTGACTCCTGAGGTCTCCTGCCCCAGTGCCATCCAACCCACTGACGTTGTAATCCTCTCCAATCCTAACCCCACCTTGATGGCAGTGCTAATGTCTCCACTTCTATCACAGAAATCCCCATCTCTACATAGTCATCTTTGCTTTATCCCAATTTACCTTTTTCCCATTTTTCTTTTGTGATCTCTTGAGAACGGCCTCTGAATCTCATTTAATAACCATGCAGCTTAAAATCCTGAGGAATTTATCAAAGACTTTTGAAATTTTATACACACTGATTTTGGTTTGAAAATCAAGGTTAACATGTATATGATACCTTGTTAAAAGATGTTGGGGGGCAGAGCAAGCTGGCCGAATAGGAACAGCTCCAACTCCCAGCGCGAGTGACACAGAAGACAGGTGATTTCTGCATTTTCAACTGAGGTACTGGGTTCATCTCACTAGGGAGTGTGGGACAGTCAGTGCTGGTCAGCTGCTGCAGCCAGACCAGCGAGAGCTGAAGCAGGGCGAGGCATCACCTCACCTGGGAAGCGTAAGGGAGAAGGGAATCCCTTTTCCTAGCCAGGGGAACTGAGACACACAACACCTGGAAAATCGGGTAACTCCCACCCCAATACAGCGCTCTACCAAGGATCTTAGCAAACGGGCACACCAGGAGATTATATCCCACACCTGACCCGGAGGGTCCCACGCCCACGGAGCCTCCCTCATTACTAGCACAGCAGTCTGCGATCTGGAGGTAAGGCAGCAGCGAGGCTGGGGGAGGGGCACCCGCCTTTGCTGAGGCTTAAGTAGATAAACAAAGCAGCTGGGAAGCTTGAACTGGGTGGTGCTCACAGCAGCTCAAGGAGTCCTACCTGTCTTTGTAGATTCCACCTCTGGGGACAGGGCACAGCTAAACAACAACAACAACAACAACAAAAAAGCAGCTGAAACCTCTGCAGACGCAAACGACTCTGTCTGACAGCTTTGAAGAGAGCAGTGGATCTCCCAACACGGAGGTTGAGATCTGAGAATGGACAGACTGCCTGCTCAAGTGGGTCCCTGACCCCTGAGTAGCCTAACTGGGAGACATCCCCCACTAGGGGCAGACTGACACCCCACACCTCACACGGTGGAGTACACCCCTGAGAGGAAGCTTCCAAAGCAAGAATCAGACAGGTACACTCACTGTTCAGCAATATTCTATCTTCTGCAGCCTCTGCTGCTGATACCCAGGCAAACAGGGTCTGGAGTGGGCCTCAGGCAATCTCCAACAGACCTACAGCTGAGGGTCCTGACTATTAGAAGGAAAACTAACAAACAGGAAGGACACCCACACCAAAACCCCATCAGTATGTCACCATCATCAAAGACCAGAGGCAGATGAAACCACAAAGATGGGGAAAAAGCAGGGCAGAAAAGCTGGAAATTCAAAAAATAAGAGCGCATCGCCCCCTGCAAAGGAATGCAGCTCATCGCCAGTAAATACTCCCAAAGGATGTTTTCAGAATCCAAATCAATGTCAGACTCTGTGACTTGCGGAGAGTTGTGGATACATCACAGACCCAGTTTTTCCAAAGTTGAATGAATTTCTCATGTAACTCTTCCTCACTCAATTCTTTACCCTTTACAGTTAAAGCAAACTTTCAGCTCCTTTCCAATACTTCTTTTTCAAAATCTGTGTTTATCTTATTCAGTCTTTCTTGACTTTTGTTTTTAAAACGAATGAGTTCATTGGCTTGTCTTTTGCTATCTGAAATAAGTTTTTTTTTAAGGGCTATTAGCTTATTTTCAAAATTTGCTTTCCAAATGTCTGACTGTAGCTGTGAGTTCCTCCATTAATTCTGCCTCATTCCTATCCTTGATACCCATTCTCATTCTTTGGCCAGAATTACTGGTCATGGTTGCTTCTTTGTCATCGAGCAAGCAGATCAATGGCCTCGATGCCTGCCACACGTTATGGACAATTTTTCGGTTTCCTTCATTGTCGTCAGTGGCTGACATGAGGACCACAATGACTGTAGACACCTCCTTCAGGAAGTTGAGCTGCTGCTCATGTTCCTTTGCATCTCCATGAAGATTGGTGAAGGTCACATCATTGTCAAATCTGTCCTCATCTTCCCCTCCTGGACAGAACCAGTAGATTTCTACCACATCCCCCATCAAGAGGCAATCTTTCCTGCTTCCTCTGCAGTGTCAGTGAAAAAACACGTCATGTTTCCGTTTACTGAGAAGACAGTTCATAATCTGAGATTTGGAAGCAGAGAGGCTATTTCCAACTCTTATGAAGGACATAATTGAGGTAGAGACACAACACATCTGCTGATTCTTATAATGGTTCTTCCCTTTTGGTGATTTCCTTGCTTCTCGCCAACTTCTTGTAATTTGACAGAGAGACCAGAGAGAGAATTCAATCTGAGAAGTACAGGGATAAGGCACCAAAAGGGGGAGGGAAAGCTGACAAGTGGAAAGTTTGGCCAAAATATATTGTCTGGCAAAATCATCTGCACAGTGAAAAATTGTCATCTGAATATCCATTGGGTGAATATGGGGGCTAGGCTTAGTGGATGAAGATTTAGTGGGACTATCACTGTCTTCAAAAATGTTTTCATATGGATCAAAAGCTTCATCTTCCTGATCTGAGGCATTTGGATGTACTTGGTGTTCTGTGTTTCTACCATCTTTGAAGACTAGGTATCTCAGCTCATAATTCATCATCAGTAGTTTCTGCAGGAAATAGAAGGGAAGCTCCTGTTCAGAGCTGGGCTGGGTGTTGTACACAGAAGTCTTATAGACTAGATGGAAATTAGCTTTGCTCAATTTTTTGGGGTAGTACTGTTCTAGACCTAGACGCTGGAGTAAGTCTAGGAAGGCTCCATTTTTTATCATCTCCCATTTGCTATTTTCATTGTCATGTGGTTCATGAGGCTGTTTCTTTCCATAGAAGAGACTTTGTTTGCTCACCTCTTCCATTTGCAAAGAAGAGATGGTGACTTCTTCTTCATAATCCCCATTAATGAGCAATCTCAATTCTTTCTCTAGTTTTCCCAATCGTGATCTGCTCCAGGTTTGGTGAGGACATGTGCAACTTCTTTGGACCATGATTGTCCCATGTGATGTCTCATTAATGACATGCGTTGTGTTTTCTCTTCTGAAAAAATAGCTGTGTCTCCAACTGTGGCTGTCAGACCTGTGAGAACTAGGAATGCCTGAGCCCTGTAGCTGCAAATATTCTTAAGCTCCTGGTATTTATTTTGGGCAGTTTGCATTTCATCTAGTAGGAAGCTTAACTCATCACACCCCAAGAGACTCTGAAAAGTATTGTTTACCACACGATATCCTGCAGCAGCTGCAATGGAAAGTAGCAAGAGTTGTGTCTGTCAGCTCTGCTTTTTGGAGATAATTCAAGAAGTAGCTGAGAGCCAAGCTGACCTCATAAATGGACTTTATTTGAGCTTCCTCCACTGTTTCTGGGGACTCCGATTTGACATTTACTTCCATGAGTTCATTCTGGGTTTCTTTTAAGATCTCAATTAATTGAGAAAACTGGGAAACATTCACCTGCTCTTGCTCTGAATCTGACTGGAAGATCCACTGCATGATGAAGTGAGCCTGAGGAAAGTTTGTCACTCTGTAGATGTGAGGATCCAGAAGGCTGCGCAAATGAGATTTAATATGTTTAGTTTTATAAATGGAAGAGTTTTTGCAAAAGTTGACGGTGTTTACTAGAAAATTCTGCAGATCCCAATCTGTGAGACATATATTGATCCAAGTGTCATAACTTTTTAGTTATTGACTCAACATTTTCATGAAATTTATCAGTTTTATAAGTTGCTCTTCAGGATCAGATACCTCCCAAGATTTTACATCCTCTAGAAAAACCCTGGCCTCCTTCCCAGCACTCAGTAACTCTTCCCCTTCCTGGATCTGGGAGTGATGCTAGTCAGAGCAGTGTAGCTGTCTTTCAGGAAGTTAGCCACTTGAAGAGGATCCTTAAAATTGCTTCTGTGGCTGGAGAGGATAATGTCCCGAATTGGCACCAATTGAAGCCCGTGGTCAATGACACACCAGGTTTGATTGCTGGCCACGAGGCCAGCTTTCCACTGGACAAGGACATCTGCTTCTGGTGGGCCACCTGTTTAGGCCACAGATAGTTGGACCTCGGTTTGGAGATTTTGGGAAGTTTTGGTCTGAGTGGCTGTTTTCGAATGAGAGTCTGAAACATTCACATCTGCAGCAACTTTCACTCCAAAGCCACTGTAGCTGTCCCTTATGAAAATGTCCAGGGCCTCTGCAGACTACTGCGTCACTTCTGCCAACTGCTCTCTGCAATAACCCTCTGAAATGGCCTTCCACCAGTAGATTCCTCCCAGGTGCAGAGGGCCTTGGTTAACATGAGAGCCAAACCTGTGGAAGAAGTTTACAATCCTGTGCCTCAGCAAGGAGAATCTGTCTGGGTTTGCTGTCTGACTCAGAAGGTCTTCAATACATTTCAATTCCTGGAGAGCAGGCTTGGATAACTGCAGCTGATCAGTGGGAAAGTGGCAGGAGGCCAGGGGGATGTAGCTGAACTTGGCTGAGCAGAAATAAGAATGCTTAGAACTTGATTGTTGGGTTTCCTTGGATTCTGAATGTTTGCTGTGATCCAAACCAGCTTCTAGACTAAACCCCCAACTTCTGTCCTTGGCTGAAGTAGTTAAACTAAAGCCCAGCTTCTCTACCGTCTGGGTAAACATGAATTCAGCCTGAGGAGATGTGAATTCCTTTGTTTTCATTTGTGTTCCTTGCTGAGGATCCGAAAGTAAAAACTCTTTGGGGACACTGAGCAACTCCTCTCTCTTCTTTGTCAGGCCCCTTTGGTGGTTGGCTTTGTAAATTCCCTGGAGGGCCAGCCCTCCAGATGCCCATCTCACCACATCTCTATCTGGGAGATTTTGCCTGTGGCACAGTGTCCACTCTATGAGGTTGAGTTGTCTCTGCAGGTTTTCCATGACTTCCCTTAGAGGCTCTTCAGGGGATGGCCAGTACTCTTCAGGGATGTCCATCGCTTGTCTCAGCTCTGCTTCTCTTGTCCTCACTGCCTCTTCCTGTCTCTGCTTCCCTTCTGTCAGCAAGTCCCTCAGCTCCTGCAGTGCCTATTCTGCCTGCTTCTGCTTTCTCTTTGCCCTCTCCACCTGAGACTCCTGTAATGCTGAAAGACTTTTTGGGTGTGACAGGGTAAGCAGCTTCTCCAAGGCTCTTTTCTCCCATGGATGTTGTGTCTGGGATTTCAGCTTCTGGAGGTTGTTTTTTTCTAGGTGTTGTAAGGTCTGGACACAGGTCGCATCCAGGTGTTCCTGCAGCTTGGGTAACCAATACTCAACATCCAGGCCCACTTCTCTCAGCATCTCTTAGAGATCTTGCTCCTTTTGCCTCTGAGCAGAGGGTCATCAGGGGTGTGTTCTCCTGTGGCCATGGCTGCATACAAAACAGACACTCAGTTAGCTGACTGTTCTGACCTTAGGAAGTGTCAGCCACATGGCCAAAAGTGTAAGTATACTAGTATGCACATCTACAAGGCTTTCTCATTCCTCATTTAATTGTTTTAACAAAAATTTTTTAATACCCTTTTTTGTGTGCAAGCCATCATTAGGTATTCTCAATATGGATTGCTTTTGTGGTTTGCAACTTACTAGACTTATTTTGACACTTCCTTTTACATAGAATCAATTGCATGCAAAACATTAAGATGAGAGATGGAGTTTGAAAATATGCTTGAGTTTGGTAGCTTGCTGTTTTTTTTTTCTTTTTTAAAGAATGATGGTACCAACAGATCATCTTTTCTTTACTAGTTTCTGTGAAATCTGTGTTGCCTGGTTTCCTTCCTGTCTCTGTGTCACTTCTTCCTAGGGCATTTCATAATATTTATTTGCTTTCCTGCCCTTTTAAATGTGCTACTAACCTGGTTTATGCTTGTCACTCCCTTCTTACTCTTAATTTTCCCTAGTTAATATCATCCTTCTGTTACATTAGTAGCTGTCTCTCTGTTGATGCCACCTTCATCTGTGTCTGTAGACCCAAATGCTCTCTTGTATTTAATGTTTAATTAATGTTATGTTTTTCCCCTTACTACCTTCAGTATATATCCTTGACCAGCAGATGAGATGAGATTTTATATGTTTCAATTTCATACTTTATTCAATTTCCCTTCATCCTGTAATTCTTGTCCTACTGAATGGCATGCCAATGGGCATCTTGTTCATCCTTCTTCTTCATAACATGAATTTAGTACATAATATCTTTTCCATTTGTCCTCTTAAACCTCTATTTAATTTCACTTCTTTTTGACACCCTATCAACTCTCCCTTAGATTTTGTCTTCACCATGTATATTGGATGGCTATAATAGCCATTCCACCTTCCATGGTTTGAATGTTTGCTGTCTCCAAAGCTTATGTTGAAATTTAATTGCCATTGTAATAGTATTAAGAGGCAGGAGAGGTGATTAGCATTGAGAGGTGATTAGGCCATGAGGGCTATGCCATCACAGGTGGGGTTAATGCTGTTATGAAAGGTTGAATTTTGTCCCCTTTTGCCTCTTGTGCTTCTGCCATGTGATGACAGAGCAAGAAGGTCCTTGCAAGATGCTGACACCTTGACCTTGGACTTCCCAGCCTCCAGAACTTTGAGCCATAAATTTGTTTATTATTAGTTACCATGTCTCAAGTATTCTGCTATAGCAACACAAAATAGAGTAAAACACCATCTTGCAGTAATTTTTGTCTCATGCATTTCTTCTTCCTCAGTGTCTCTACAATTTAAATCTGCACTTTAATTAATAGTAAACTCAGCAGCTCAAGCCATTCTTTCCAATGAAAGACATCTGAAATAAGTAGAGACACGCATAAGACAATTTTTTAAAGGCTTAAGTAATTTACCTGGTAAAAAATATCTGACAGAAGAGGTAAATAATCTGACGCAATAATGAATGAAAAATTTCCATTATAAATTAAAGACAAAGTTTAAGACCTTTACAAATACTAAGCAAAAATTAAAGTAAAATAACTTTACACTCAGATGTATCAGAATAAAACTGCAGAAAATAACAAGAACAACAACAAAACAACAAATACATGTAGAAAGTACAAATACAAGTAGAAAAAGAGTTTACCTTTAAAAACCTAACAGAGAGCTGATTTCTCAACAGCTATAGTGGAAGCCAAAAGAGAGTATAATTGAATATTTATTTCACTGAAAGAAAATGTCAGACAAAAATTTTATATACAGTGAAATATTCTTAAAGAATGATCATGGAAAAGGGACATTTAAAACAAAAATGAAAGACTTACAGGTGCAAAATTATGGCATAGGGGCAAGCTGGTTTTCCTCTCCCCACTCAGAAAACCAAAAGTAAATACATAACATGGAAATTTTTACCATCAATAACCCAGAGCTCAAATATGAGGATGAGGCAGTTCCCAGGATCACACAGAAGTGGAAAAACTCTGAGCAGATGGTATGAGAATCAAATTTCCACATCTGTAATGACCCTACACATTATTCTCTTTGGTACTAAGAACATAGAAAATCTCTCCCGACCCCCAACTCAAAGTTTCTACACTGGAAAAGGTGAAATTGAGGTGGTCAGTTAGCTTTCCCACTTTCTTGAGTTCCCTGCAAGTTTACCTGTGTTTGCCTTAACCCACAGGAAGCACCATGACTACCTAAAGGGATAAAGATCCCTGAGTACAAGCAAAGACAAGGGGAGGAAGTGAGAATATCATCCACATCCTAGGCAATTCTGCTCTGTAACTTGGCCAAAGGAGATGCCAAATCAGAGTGGCTGTTTAGCAGCAGAACATTGTAGGAGGTATGTTCCATAGGTCCCCTGGGCATGAACCATTGGCCAGCCTTCCCACATTGCTGGGATAATCCTTTTGAGACCTCCCCCATTCAGGACAGGCAGCGCTATGACATTTACCAGAGCCAAGGTGAACTTAGGCTTAAGGCACCACCTAGACTTAAAAAGGAGGCAGCAATCTAGTGGTAAATATTTACTAAATAAATATATTAAATAAAAACCAGAACAAGCCAAAGAGAGAAAACTGGAATAAATAACTTCTCCTTCAATGCAAAGACATTGATACAAGCCCACAAGAAACAACAACAATCAGGGAGCCATTACCTCCTCAGAAAGACTAAGCAAAAATCCAATGACTGAATCTAATGAGATAGTGATCTGTGAACTCTCTGCCCAAAAGAAACTCAATTATCTCTAAGGTAAAGCAGTTCAGAAGCATGTCAGAAAATGTAACAAAGCGATTGAAACAATAATTTAAAAAACCAAACAAAAATATTGGAACTGAGACATACGTTTGCTACAGCAAAGAACCCTTTAGAGGCTCTCAGCACCAGAATGAACTAAGCAGATGAAGGAATCAGTGAGCTCAAAGACTGACTATTTGGGGGGGCGGAGCAAGATGGCCAAATAGGAACAGCTCCAGTCTCCAACTCCCAGCGCGAGCGACACAGAA